ATTAACACGGGTTTGACAAAACAGAAAGTTTTAACAAACAAATACTTTGCCAAAAGAAAGAAGGAAAAATAAGTTTGGTCACCGATCCTAACAGCAGTCCCAAGGCTGCTCTTGAGACTATCCTTGTTTTGATTTAGGAGTGTGGTGGGAGATTCATTTATCTCCCAGTGTCACGACACAGATCTTGCTTAACATGCATTTCTGCTTACAGCTGTTTTGCATTTCTGTTTCACTTAAAGCTGCCTTTACGGGGATGTCCACCATCCTGGATGGACTGGGGAAGGGGCACATGGACAGCCCACTGCAGGAGCAGCAAGCTCTGCCAAAGAGCTGAGGCGACTGGGCGGCGAAAGAGCGGCGAGGCTGCACAGCTCCGCAGCAAGGCTTGGTACGAGGCCATGGCGACAGCTGAAACCCCATTTCCACTAGAGCCAGTGATGTAGGGACTGCATCCTAGGGGCCTTCCGGACAGCAGAAGCACCTACATCAGGAATCTTGTGCATCCCAGCACCTTTCATAGTCAGTGGAGAGAAAGGGAGAGAGAAGAGAGGGCACCTCCAAAAGGCACTTCAGAGGCTGAATCATCCTCTCCTGGTGCCAGGGACTAAAGAAACTGAGGGTGGCTGAGATCCTGGCATCAGTGCTTCAGGAGAAATGGGACCAATCCAGGCCAGAGGAGCTAAATTCAGAAAAGCACTGAGGCAAAGTGACATTCAGTTGAGCACCACGTGGCATCCAGGAGCCACAGGGCTTTGGGAAGTCCTTGACCTTGACTCCCACACGTGACCCCTCCGCACACAGTGCATGGAGTCAGGCAAGGAAAAGTGGGAACCAGAAGATCCCATTACAGAGGCTTTCCTTCATAGACAGCAAACAGTTGAGCACAAAAACATCCAAAAAGGCAGCAGAGACCACTAAAACGACAGACAAGAGTTTAGGTTCAACCTCACCTAGTTCCAGCAGGAAAAGGCCCTGTGGTCTGGCCCTGGCTCTCGGGCATGAAGGCTTTTCTAAAATCAGGTGCCAAAATGAGATCAACCCCTCCTCGAGACATGGAGGAATAAAACACAACAGACAGACCTAACCCCCATTCAGTCCCATTGTCCCAAATCTGTAATTTTGCTTGAGAAAATGAAGGCAAAGCAAACAAGAGTCATAAAGCGCTACCAAGATTTTTCTTCAAGAGCTCTATGAGGTTTGGGTCTTTGCCCCAGGAGGAAGAAGAAAATCTCTCCTCAGCCACCCAGTACCAGAGACCTGCTAACCTGTATTTAACCAAATGGCAGCAGTGACCTGATATATGCGGAATGAAAGGACAGATACAGGAACAGGTTCAAATCCCAAGCCACTCACTGGAGCACACAAAGCAAATGATTTATTTAGCTGGCAGAGGAGCAGGTGGGAACTGTGCCCTGACACAGAAAGTGAGACAGTTTTTGTGGTCCAACATATCATTTGGGCCTCAGCCATGCATGAGGGGTGGATGCAATCCCTGCAGTGTATTGGGAACATCCCCTTTGTGTTTCCCAAACCGGGGTTACACCAGGAGCACAGGGAGCAATGCACACAATGGCAGGATCCTCTCTGGGCATCGTTCAGTCCTTAAGAAACTGCCAAACCCTTGAGCTCTGAACCTCCAGCATGTTCCCCATGCAGGAATGGGGGCGGATTATTGGGGCAGGGAGGAAGAAGGGAGCCCAGGCAGGCTGTACCCCTCTCAGCAACACCAACCAGCACCACATCAGTGCTCTTAGTTAGGCACCAGGAAAGCAGTCGCTTGCCAACAGACCACCATTTACCTCACAGGGAAGCCCAACAAAAGCCATCATCCACCCACGGCCTGAAGCTTGCTCGAGGATTGGAGCATATGTGTGTTCAACATGTGATCGCAGCATCCCGTATGTTCAGTGGGATGATGGGAATGGGCTGTTGAGAGAAAAATGGCAAGTATAACTTCACCTAAATTTCATCTAGGATTATGTATATTACCATACATTTAAATACTTGAAAACTGGCAGCCAGCTTTATGGTTTTACATCTTTAGTTTCTTCTGGACTCACATCTTCATGGCTCTCCCTGGAATTAATCATATCCATTTTGTCTTTGACGGACATTTTTGTCTTTTATGGGCAAAATATTCCACAGAAATGTAAATGTGATTTACAGAATTTTTTTCTGATACAGACTTCACACTACCTGCATGCCTCTGGGCAACAAGCAATTTCTTGAGACTCATCACATCTAACCTCCAGTGGTCTAAAACTTAGGTGTCCAGTCCAAAGGTGATGTCCAGCCTCCCTGTCCAGTCAGTGGAGAGAGACAGATGCCTCCAGATGGCTCACATGATAATGCAGATGGCTAGGAAAGGTGAAATGAGACACCTTTCAGCAGTGCCTACATCTCGACTGACTGTGGAGGGAGCTTGGACAGCTGCCTTAGGGAAGGCAATTCTAATGCTAACCTCCTCCTGGACAAGTAGAGCTGATGAGATGAATCCCATCCAGTGTGATTTGTGCCTCCTCTCAGAAGGAAACTACACCTGGGAATACCAAGAGGGAAATGGCAGTTATCACAGAAATCACAGAAATCACAGAA